TGCATGCAACTACAGCTTACACTGTACGATGAAACCGCAGGGTTTACAAGTTCACAGCTCACGATGTTTGTTCTCACACTGTGCGATCCGACCCTATGATGTGATCTACCTGCTCGCACTGCACATCTAAAAACCACGTCGGACTTGGCTCGTCTTTCCGGAAGCCACGCCATCATTCTGACGGGGTCTTGGCTGCGTCCAGCAGTACCGGACGGTGCTTTTGGCCTGGAGGGACTAATGCTATACTGCGCCGATAGAAACAAAGAGCTCTGCGTAAATGGAAAATCCTCTGAGACTGTTCCCAGGCAATCTTCAGATGCTTCCCCGCCATGCTTCTATGTTTTCATCTAAGAGGAACAAGAAGAAGAGTCCTTGTTTGCGCATGCCAACTGAGCGATTTGCCCATGACGGCCGACTGAAATACAAACATGTTTGATTTTCTCCCGACCTTATGATTCCTGACCAGGAGGTGGTCGTGAGCGGCTAATCGCCCCCATTACCCCCTGTACACTACATGATGCATGACGTACGATAAGGCTGAAAGTCGGCCTGATCGAAATAATTCTCGCAAGACTGGAAAATCATCCAGAAAAGGGCAAAAAAATCATACAGCATATGCCCGGCTTTAAATGATGCTAAAATTGGGATTTATTTTTAGCCAGTTAAAGAAATTATATATAAGCAGTGCTAAGATGTCGGGTGATTAAGTAGCTAATTTAAAGTTTGGTTACAGAAGTTGAAAAATGTATCAGATCCAAATGATTGCGTTTTCAGTGTGTCCAATCTTCATTTCACAAAGGACTGTTCATAGGGCAGTGATGTTGGCTAATATATTCTAAGTGCTATGAAGTTGCATTTTTCATGTTAATGTAATCTGTGTTGAACAGTAGCTGGCATACACAATGTTGCCTACTGTGCCAAATTTCTGAATGTTGTCTGAATGAAAGATGGTTGTAAAGCAAAGGAAAGGAGAGAATAAAGGCACATTTTGCCCAATAACGTCTTTTCAAGATGTGTGATATGATGCAGCCCCTTACACACCAACTAATCTAGACTGGAGAATCATGTGTGTAACAACCTGCTTCGGTTAATAACCACCTGTTTCCACTTCTGACACAGCGTGTCTCATTGTGTGCGATACTGTATATTAATATTTCACATTCTGTGCTATGCTATCGCTGCTGTGACATTTTAGAAGAAAGCAGAGGCTTCTGATGTTTGCATTAAGCAGTAGGTAGAAACTTAATTAACATGCATGTTTTAATTAAATGCTTTACAAAGATATATAGATTTATGTAGGAAGGTTTTACCCTTTATAAAATGTCTGCCTGAAACGGAAAGCTTAACTGTGTAGGACCTTAATCCCTAATGCTTTAAGGACTGCTTTCTGCAAAACCATTGCTTCTAATTTATGAAACCTTTTGTCAAGTGCTTCCAAATCATTTAGCCTCCTGTACCAAAAAGAGTCAGCTTTTTATGTTAAACTGCTGTATAGTTTTTGACACCAAACAAGGTGATTTCTGTATGTTTTATTCCTAAGAAACTATCTAATGGTTGTACATTGGTACAATGTGAAATTCAGGCGTTTTAATGCAATCCTTCTGAAGCAGTTGAATGGTCAGTGGGTACATGTTTCTTTCCCAGTTTGCATGCATGTAGCAGTACTTGAAAGAGATGTCCAACCAGACTTTTGCTGACTGGTGCAGATTTTTCTTCTTCATTATCTCGACAGGTATCAAAGACTGAATAAAATGCAGTAGAGATTGAATGGATTTAAAGAATGAACTGTTTGATGAGGGTTTTACAGAACGAAAAGTGGTTGTTTAAGGTTTTGATGCATTTAGGAGTGGAAAAATGCTGACCTTGCTGGCTGAATGATCTCTTTACATTCATCCTGACTTTGACTTTAAGATAAGCCTCTGCTTTTGAATGCTGGGTTACACTGGACCGAAGTACTGGGGAATATGGTTTAAAAATCTAATATCCAATTTCTTTTTTCTTTTTCTTTTACAAAATCCAGCTTTTAAAAATCTGAGCTCCTCACATGAGACGAAAATAGTTCATATTACCAGTTACATATATTTCTGGGTATGGATAGTTTCAGACCTTACAGAGAAAAACATAGCCTTTTCTTTTCACAACCAATAACCATGTCTCTTAAATAAAGTTATATTTCAAACACAAGCTAGAGGCCCCAACTGCAGGTTTCAAAGGTGTTGATCTTTCCTAACCAAAGTCAATAAACCCATATATTCTCAATTTGAAAGAATATGAAGTCGACAGAAGATAAACAAACCATCTCTTTGCGTTTGCCCTTTGGTTTATTGTTTCAGCGATGTGTGGGAGGCTGGCTCAGGTCCAGTCCTGGTGAAAACTCTCTTGTCTGACCAGTTGGTGTTGGAACGATGCATGGCACCGTCAGTATGCAGGGCATGTGTTTGAGATTGTGGAGTGATTAAAATCTCCTGTGATTTCTCCTACCCGTCAGTGCAAGACAATTAAAATAAAAGTAACTTTGGCGAATCTCCTCTCTGATTTAATAAGGTTTGGAGCTCTGGGATCAGACAGGGAATAATAATCATGAGTGGCTTTGTACCTCAATGAAAAACTAAAACCATTCTGAGACTGTAAATTCTTTTATAATTGTAGTCGTACCCTCCATCATAGCAAAGGAAAGCCAATAATTCTTTGTTAGCAAATATGTAACTTTTTTCCCTTGTGTTATAGCCTGAGGATTTTTTTGTTTTTTGTTTTAGCTTTACTGTTTTTTCCCAACATCATGTATATCTTAAGTGGAAAGCCTCTGTCATCATGTTTAGTTGAGAAGTTATTTTTCTGTATGTGGATGTGAAACAGTAATTATCCTCTCTACACTGTTATTTGAAACACATGCTGCCTGTCACAAGCTATTATTTTTTGTTTTTGATACGAAGCTTTTATGTGGTTGCATCTAAGCCCTATAACTGGGCACAACATATGTGAGGAGTCACCCAAAAAAAGGATCTTTTTGGCTAAGCATGTTGTTTTCTCCAAACCATTCGTGGTCTGGAGCTATCACAGTGAAATGGTGTTCATAAAGCCCTTAAATTACCTGTTCTCTCTGACCCGCATTCACTGAAACACATCTGGCAGTCACATGTAAACTACTTGGTGCTATGGTTCATTTAGTTGTGTTCCCTGGTAAACAGTTACCGTCCCTCGTCTTCAAATTAGCACTGTTAAAGCAGAGTCCCCCCTACATGGCTGCTGATGGACAGCAAAGTGAAACTGGATCAGTAGAAAGAAAAGGACAGGCGCTCTGGGACTTGTGCAGCCTGCATGCCTCTTGCTCAATTAGACACTTGCTTGGACATTTACTCAGCAGAGTTTTTTATCACTGCAGTTTTAGCGAAGGGTGTGCAGTGGGTCAACAGCCGATAGTTACAACCTTTCCTTTGTGGAGGTGTTGGACAAATTGGACCTCACAACTGTTAAGCCAGTCTTACAGAGACAGCTGCAGCTCTCCGCCCACAAAAACCAGCCGCTGACTGTTGTTCCTTTGGGGAACCATCTGTGAGGAAGAAACGGGTGCAATTAATAAATGGTTGTTCAACAGTTTTACCCTTGCTGCTGTAGAGGAAGGGGGTGCAATCTGTGACCGGGCTGTAGTGTCGGTCTAATGGCAGCTGAGTGAGGTTACAGGGTTTCCACGGGTCATTGAAGATCATTCAAAGTCATTACATTATAATTGTTTTTCAGTTAGGCCTTAACTGGCATTAAAATTCATAAAATGTGAATATCGCGGCATTTAAAATACAAAATTAAAAATTAAAATAAAAAATGTATTTGTTGATGGCATTAGAAAGATTTCTAATGGCATTAAAAAGGGTTAATTAGAGCTTCTCATTCCTGTATAAAACCTGGGTTAAATGAGAAGAACCTTTGCTCCTCTGTTTTTAAAAGTTTTTAAGTGCTTCAAATGTGTTGACATATTTTTTTCAGAATGTTTTTTTGTTTTGTTGTAGGGTATTAATAAAAAAGTTAGAGGAGTTATGATTGTGTTAATGTAGCTGAAAACTGTAGTGTAATTGCTTGTGTAATTTTCCACTGTGATCATTTTCCTTGCCTGTTTTTTTCTTTCTTCAGTTTTTGTTTTTTTCTCCTTTCCCAGGATCTTTTGAAATGCTACATATGGCATAAAAGATGCACAAAATATTTCAGACACATGGTGGCAATCAGCTGACTTATGATCTGTCGTCTCTGCAGCCAGTCGCTGTATATTCATTCAAGCAATAATTCAGGAATATTTGGACAGAGTAATGAGCCTCTTCACTCTTTTAAAACCACATATTTACACCTTGAGGACTGGGATTGTTTTTGTCTTTTTCCTTTTGTTGCCCTCGCTTAATTTACATCCCTTAATTTATCCCAAGTTTGATGCAGAATGTGTGTGAGACTGTCGTATAGATTTACAATAACATCATGACCTTTACCTCGTCTCTGTGAGCAAATTGAACAGCCTGGTTTTTATTTAACTATTTTTTTCCTGCAACATTCACTTGGTTATTCCAGCTTTCATGCCCCCTTTTATGCAAGATGATTGTTGCATTGTGTAGCTGAAAAGGCACGGCTGTATAAAAAGAAAGTGAGGGTGTGCTCGGCTATCTACTTCTTATTTATCAGCAGTGACACTATCAGCGGTGCCTTGTGAAAAGAAAGTCAGTCATTCAGAACAGAGGGGCCACCTTGGTTGTCAAAGCAGGATTTAGGCTACATTTCCCACGGTTGCCATGACGACCGTGGGAAATGTGATTATGGAGGGGGTGGGGGGGTTCAGAGCAGAGCTGTCACACCAGTGGGTATTACCATGGTGGTTTGCACAGTGATCATCCCAGAATTACTGGCTCACAATCAAACGTTTCTTACAATGAACTGCTGTGTTCTTCTATGGCTCAGATGCCGTGCTGTTGTTCTGTGTCTGAACTGTTGGGGTTAATTTGCCTCTTCTTCTCTCTTTCCAGGGCAGAATGTGGTTAAATGGGACAGGAAGGAGTAGAACGTGAAGATTCTCTAACCCTTGCCCCTGACTCCCAACCGTCTGAGAGGGTGTCAGACCTCACCGAGGCATTCCGGGGCCGTTGGCACTAAAATGTCCCTAAGTGGTGGCACTGCAGGCGGGAAAGGTGTGGACTCTAATGCGGTGGACACTTACGACAGCGGGGATGAGTGGGATATCGGTGTTGGAAATCTGATCATTGACCTCGACGCTGACTTAGAAAAGGACAAACTTGAGATGTCTGGCACCAAGGACGGCATGGCGGCACCACCCAGCGCAGTGGCGGCGTTGCCCGACAATATACGATTCGTTAGCCCAGTCTCTGGCGCTCAAGGCAAGGAGAGCAAATCAAAATACAAGCGCAGTAAGAACTCTAAAGACAATAGCAGCAAAGCTTCCACGGACGGGGGTAAAAAAGAAACCACCGGACGGACTCAAGGGGAGCCAATAGGTGCAGCAAGCGCAGTAGCTGCAGGCAACAACTCCACCAAGAACATGGAAAAAGGAGGCAAAGCCTCCAGAGGTGTTCTTGGAGGTAAAAAAGACAAGGAAGGGGCCAGTGGGAAAAATAAGAAAGACAAAACAGATGGCGCCCCAGTCGTGGCAATTGGCGTCTCTGACAAGGACGTTACTCAGGCCCAGGTTGCTTTGGGAAATAGTCGTAATGCGTCCTTTGAGAACACACAATCAACAGACTTGGCAGATGCTAATCAAATGGGGAATATTGCACTTGAATCTGTTGGGATAGTACCAGCGTTGACCATGAAAACTGAACCAGATGAGGTGGAAAATGTGAACAGTGAATGCAAGACATTAAAGAAGATAAAAAGCGAGAAGGTAAGTTGTTTTTACTTTCTTAGTGGTTGCTGAATGTGCTTTATGTCCTATCAGTTTGACTGATCTCATTTGAAGAACATTTGATATCAATTCCTTCTTAAACTGGGGATATACTAATATCGTTACCCAATCAGATCGAAGCATTGGTACTTCAAAAGAAGAAAAAAGCACAATCTTCTGACTGGTTTTTTAAACATATTGAAAAGGCTGGCTGTGCTTTGAACAGTTGAGATCATGGTTTTTCATTTTTTTGGTGTGGGTTTTTAGAAGCCTCAGATGTAGCTCTTTAAAAAAAAAAAGAAAAACAGAACTGTCTTTCATTGATTTTAATTTAATGCAATCTGACCCAGGGCTTTAGACCTCTTGACGTTGCGCTTTGACAGCCTGTTGCTTTCAGCAGGCATGAAGATGCACTGCATCCCCTAAAGCAATCTGACATGTGATGCATGCAAAGAGGCCCACTGCTGTTTTCTCTTTTATCACCGTCCTATGAACGAGGCAGCGCTTGACGAATGCGATGCCGTGACCCACCACAGGAAATGGTCCACACAGTGGAGATGTTCTTTTCCTGACTTGGCTGTGCAGGCTTTATTTGTCTTACAGGAATAGACAGTTCCCTTCCCATTAGAAACGCTTCTGCTGGCATGTTAAGTAATAATTCTTATTATCATATTTTGTAATTATCTCTAAAGTTGTTGTATTCTCCACATTAGCCCATAAAAAATGAATTGCAGACTGGAAGATAATCGACACGGTCGGCTTTAAGCTGTACAAAGCATTACGCCTGTGAAGCGAAACAAATGTCAAATCCTGTTCCACTTAAAAAAAAAATATATATATATATATATATTTTTTTTTCGTTGTTGAACATTTTAAAAACCGACACTGTCACACAAGAATATAAAGATCTGTGTAGCTCTTCACCCACACTTATCTTGTTCACTCAGAGCTGATCCATCACTGTGTCTTTTGTGTGCCTCATAGCAGCCTTTTCATGCTCTTGCAGTATAAAAGACAGCAAAGCGGGGAGGTGCAAAGGACTGTTTTTGTCTGTCATCGTGTTCCATTCTTAATCCCACAAGCCCCAGCAATGCCTGGTGGAGTAAGTGTGTGTGGGGAGGGAGAGCTGGTGCTCAGCACGCCTTCCTCAGTTTTTTTCCTGTGGGGGGATGGGCTGCGAGGAAGCCTGTTTGATTCCTTAAATCCAGGACACCCAGTCATGAACACAAGCTGTAGAGCCTCCTGTGGCTGGACGGCTATGAAAGGAATTCTAGCAAAGTCTTTGTAATCATAATGTATTTAGTATAAAAAGGTTTTTTTTTTTGGGACAACCTCAAGAACAACAGGCAGCTATGAATAAAAGGCGGAGGTCAAAACTGCTTCAAGGCAGCAAGCTGCTAAAGTGGATCCCTGAGAGCATGGGAGGGGTGTGATTCTACAGCAGCAATATTGGCTTAATGACTCTTTTATTTAGTCAGGTAAGACCGGTAAATGGAAGAAAGGAAAATGTTCAAAAGCAGCACTTAGTTCTCATTAGTTTATTAGTTTGCTCCACCATGTAAAAGAAGAAATTGGCATCAAAACGAAAGGTCAACCTGAAGGAGACATTTATATTGATAGCTTTACTTAAACCTTTCACTTTTAAGTGAGGTTTAACTTGCAGTCTTTGAAAAAGTCAAGAGATGTGTACTTGAATTTGATTGTTATAATTTGAATATTTTGGGAATTTTCCAGCCTGTATCCGGGCTGAATCTTGGGACGGTGATAAAATTATCAGATATTTTGATAACAATTTGGGCTTTTTATTTTTTGGCACCAGAATTTTTGTGCGGTAGCTGCAACTCTCTCTCTTCACTGCTGCATGGCAGCTTACCCATGGTAACCTAATGACCTTCACCCAAATAATGTGTGTGAGAAAGTTTGTCTTACTCTGGTTAAATCCATTGCCTTTGTGATTTAGAAATTATTTGGGTTACAGAATTAACCAAGCCTTTAGAATGAGAATAACAAGACAAAAAAAGAGTTGGGGGGTTGTGGCAGGAGTAAGAAATGAGGGGAGAAATGTTCACTAAAATAAGAGCACGGCAAGGTGTCACCTTGTTAAAATATATATTTGATCTGTTGAAATGGTTGCTCTCCATTGTTTACTTCCCTGATTTCAGCCGCACTGTCGATATCATCATCGCTCACCCAGCGTGATGACGTCATCAGACATACAGTGGTGGGGTACAGACTCAGCTTTTCAGTCAAATGGGAGAAGAGCCAAAAGCCGATTGCTAGAGAGTCAACCAGCTTTTGAAAAACATGGGTTCTCAGTGGGAACGTTGCTATAGTGAAGCTATAGCATCCTGTGTAGATTATAGAATAAATTTTTTATCTCACATGACCGATCAACTGATCTCATGTGAGTAGACTGTTAGAAGTGTAGTGGATTTCCCAAGCTACTGCTGTGATCCACATGGAGGCCTTTTTAAAATGCTTTGCTTTGCAGTGCTTTGAATACAAGCCCAGCTGCTTTGCATCATTTCTAACATGTCATATGCATGAATTTTCAGTGAGGAACATATTTCTCAGATCTCTTGGAGATCAAAAGGTGCATGTCCTTCCACTACACACTATAAATTGCATCTGCATTATATCACTTAGCTCACCCTAGTGCAGTATTTCTACCCCGGAGTTCATAGTTGTTATGAAAACCTTTAGATAGGCAACTCAAAGGAAGGTCTGTAAATGTTGAGTGGTAAACCACCAGGAGAACCAATCAGTGTGGCCTAATCTTTATTGGTTAGTTATGAACGTTCTTTCTAAAAGTAGCTGTTAAAGAATTTTAATTAGCAATGTAAAAAAAAAAAAAAAATCTTTTTTTATTAAAATCGTAATCTCAAAAAAAAAAAAAAAAAAATCTTTTTTTATTAAAATCGTAATCTCATCTAGGAGATTACGATCATAACATAAATCTTGTGCAAGTAACACACAAATGTTCACCCAATAAGAACTTTAAAGATTTTTTATCAGTAAAAAATGTACACCTGTATATTCAGTGTAAAAAAAAAAGAAAAAAAACAAAGAGCATCATTTGCTGAAATATGCAATTAATGAACCATCAATAACTTGTATTGATCATCTGGGAAGTTGGTGGTTTTGAAACAGCAGCTTTTGAGAGCCCAGTTGATGTCGATATAATGCACAGTTAAACTCATGTACGGCTGAAGAGATCGATTGGACCAAAACTCTGTGGTAGTTGCAAAAAAACAAAGCAGAGTCCCACTTTTCATAGTGTGTTTGTCGTGTTAGGTTGTACAGGTTTGGTAGCACAACCTCCGCAATCTATTTGCGACTCGCCGGGTCATATTTTGGATCACACACTTTTACATGTAAAGGAAGCCAGGCTTCCCTTACATGTAAATGGAGACCATGTCCATCGCTATATGAGCAGCCACAGCGTCGGTCATCTGCTTCCACAACACACTACACTTGTCGTACGGCACCGCTTTAGAAAACAAGGCGGCCAGGGTTTGGGCAATTGAGCATTAAGGGAATTGAGTATTAAAGCCTGCAATGTGAACGTAGCCTTAGATGCACACGGCTGTAGTCTGCTCCCCATCAGCCTTGTCGAAACCGAACCACTTACAAATAATCAACGAAGAACGAGTCTCTTTTCTCTGTACCAACTCTTCAGATAGGACAGCATGCTATCAATGAGGAAAGACGCGGTGAGGAAACACCCAAGTAAAAAATGCAGAAGAAGAGAAGTTCTCGATTTTACGATTTAGCAAACTTTCAAATCGTAGATCCTAAAAACATGAATTAGTCAAATTAATTCAATTTATGGTGCAGCCCTACTCTGGAGGCAATATGTCATCCCATTATATTACAGCTTGTTCTTTTAAATTCCTTAAAAACAGTGAAATTGATAAAATAATACGTTTTCATTTAATCAGTTTTCTTTCCAATTGTGATGTATGAATAAATATTTAAACCATAATCACATCACAGCCTTGAGCTAAGCATAATTCATTTTTAGAAAATCAATGTAGCTTTTAAAATTTGTGTAAGGAGGTAATGAAAACATTCCTGCATAGAAAACCACTCCTGCCACTAAGGTCATCTTGTATTACTACCTTAAGGACCATCCAGTACACTGTGAATGAATTAGCATCCTTTTTTGCATCGTAAAAAAGTAGTTGAAAATGAACTTCTGAATAACTTGAAGTTAATAAAAAAACAGAAGCGATCTTGATCGTGCACTGCCTGCTGTGGGATCACTGTGTCAAACTTAATTGCCCATTTCATGTTAAACAACTCTCCTGGCTGTGAGGTTTGTAATCAGTTGGACACTTCATGCTTACTGTGTATTGTGTAAGATGTGATCAGTTGAAATGCAGGAGGATTAGGGTGTTAGAAAACAGGTTAAAAATGGGTTCATTCAAAGGCACTGGAGTTGTGTAATCCTCCTACTAATCAGTATGCTTCTCTTCAGCAATCTTGTTTTCCATGGTTCTGCTGTAATGGCCGTGGCTACATTTTTTATGTCCTAAGTTAAAGCTCCCCAAAGCTTTGGCTCTCAGATGCTGAATAAATCATCTCTACTTCCTTCGTACAAGTGCTAACCACCTTGTGAGTGTGTCTCACTCTCCCACCTCTCATTATACAAATCTAGAGGAGTGAGGCATTGTCAGCTTCCTCGATGTGCCACTGGCCTTGATAAATGGAGCAGCGCTCAGAGAAAATTACATTGGCTGTGTTACTTTCAAACAGGGGGAGGGAGAGAAAGGAAAGGGTACTCCTGAATGAAAGACCTGTGCCGCCGCTCTGCTTTGCTGCTTATGTCCAGCCCAGGGGTTGGAGGGATCTCATGAGAGCTAGCTTGAGCTCTTTCTCTTTGCTGTGCCTGACAGACTGTTGTTCTGCAGCTCATTCTTTTAAGTAGTGCCAAGGATTGTAAAAGCTATGGAACCGAAGAGACTTGTTTTTGTTGGAGGTAGTGCAAACTTCAACTA